GGGGGGGGGGGGGGGGATGGAAAAACAAGACACAGGAGCTCTAAATTAGCTCAAATTGTACAGCAGAATCAATGACAGCCTGGTGCTCTAAGTTCCTGCACTCAACTGTTCCATCTCATAAGACTCTGTCAATTTGTTTTTACTATTCTGGATTTGTCTGTCACTGGGCAATTTGATACTGCATGAAAGAACTGAGTGAGATTAAACGACCAATTACTTGCATCTAAAGCCTTTGGATGACCTCTAAAGAGAAAAAGCTTCCTTTGGGAAAGGTCTCCTGTTCACAACACTGAAGAGTGTCTTGCACTTTACCAGTGGTGGTGGTGTTTAGACCTGTTAGTGAGCTTTCTCTCAGGGCAGTCTCTCTCGCATCAGAGCAGCATTTGTTGCTTTATCACAGGGGAAGACAAGTGAGAATGGATAAAACAGTCTCTGTGCAAGGTAATTCTGTAAGACATTTCTGAGAAAGGGGAAAATTTAACTTGGCTGAGTTAAAAAAGGAGCTTAATATGTATTTAAATGTATGAGGGAGGCAGGGGGATTTTAAATATCTCTACATATTATATATTGAGACCAATACAGAAATCAGTTTAAGATGCCTGGGGCAGTTCTACTCCAGTTGAGATTCACAGCTCCCATGCTCTTGGGAGCTAGGTGGGAAGAGATCTGCTTTGAAACAACATATATTTGAAATATGTTCAGTGATTGTGAATCACTGCCACCTACAGCAATTGCTTTGGATTTATCATTTATCTGTTGTGTTATGGACACATATCAAGAGACTCCAGGCTGATCAAAGCTTCACTAGGTTAGGCAATGTGTAAGAGAGGAGCTAGCAAACATCTCTCTCCAGTTTTACCCCAGTTTCCCTGCTACTTGTGCATGCTGTGAGCCAGCATTTAGACCCACCTGAAACACATTATTTGGCATCAAAATCTGTCCTCTGAAGAATGTGACTGGTAAGAATTAGCCTATATCATTATGAAGCCAAAAGCCATTTTAGAGTACAAAATGGGGCCTAAATCCTCTTTATCCATAAGAGCTGTGCATTGTGTACACTTCATGCTACTCTGGTAACTTACTGCAACCTCATTTGTGGCTCATTATGGCTAGTGATGGTCATCTGTATCATGGCCTCCTTAAGCAGAGGAAATTACAATGAAACCAACAATTTGTTTAAAAAGCCCACTGAAGGTGCAAATATTTAAGAACAGCTCCCTACTTACCAACTTTGAAGTTTGTTGTTTCCAGAGTAGGGCACGTGAACAGCCTGGGGAATACCATGTATATAGGAATAGGCAGGCCTCTGCAGACATCACCATCAGCAATTTGAATATTCTGAATCTCTGTGGCATCTCTGGCATAACCTTCTGCACAACCTGGAGAAAACAGAAAGCATTTTGGTGAAGAATTACAAGACATCTGAACGCTGGACAATTTTCCAGATTTTCCCAGATAGCAGAAATTCTTCCCCTTCACCCCACAAACTTCAACCTTAGAAACTTCAGTTTAAGAATGTTCACGTCAGGGTTGTCCAAATGGCAGCCTGTCAGCTGTATGCAGCCCCCAGGCTCCCACCAAGCCACTACTTCCCAATAATTCAAGCTGAAGCAGCAACCAGGGGTTCCAGGCTCCCCCTGCCCTGTCCGGCCTCCACTTCCTGCCCCTGTCCCAGAGGGTGAGGCCAGGGCATCTGTGAATGTGGTGGAGCAGGCAGGCGACCCCTTGCTGGTGTGGCCTGCCATGCAGCTCCTGGTCACTCAGAAGCTGGACAGCCCTGGTTTAAATTATGAAAATGAATTCTTAAAAGCAGTCCCTTCAAGTTACAAAACATAATGCTTCCAAATATCTTTTCTTTAACTGCTCTTTATAAAATGTACTATGTGGATTTTAAAGTAAAGTACAGTAAGTATTCAGATCAATATTGCAGCCTATTCAAGCTAGTCTATAAGACAACCTACCACAAGTTTCCACACGTACTAACTGCAATTCAATACTTTTGATGGCTGCTTCTGCATTCTCTACCACCAGTTCCCCCATCAATGGCTGTGTAATGATGCAGTTAGTAGAGTTGAGATGACCTCTGATGAGAAATTTTGGAAGCAAGGCTCTCTAAAGGTGAGGTAGAAAGGAAAGAAAACAAAAAACCCACATAGTTAATCAAATAAACAGAGAATGCTGGCTTGACAAAGACACCTATATGGCAAGAACAGATGAAAATTACCAAGGTAAGTAATTCTCTCTTTAGTAATTTTCTTGTTTTCTAAAAAAACAAAACCAGGAAAAAACAAATTCAGCTGCATGTGGGAGAAACATTCTGCTGGTGGATTTCACAGCTATTTGCTGACAGCAGAGAAATGCAGAGACTCCAGAAGCCTGGGTTTCATTCAAGGTTCTGCCAGGGATTGGGCTCATTGTCACAGACCCACTGGTTCCGTAAACACAACCTTCTTCAGCTTCATATTCCCATCTTCTCTTCCAGACATTTTGGCCCAGCAACCCTCTACTGGTTTCCCCCCACAGTATCCCCCACCCCACAGTCTACACTCAACTACCACTTCTCTCCCCACTCCCATTCCAAACCCTCAATGGCTTCAAGTCCCACCTCCCAACAACTTCAAGTTCCTGCCCCTAAGTTTCTTGTTGCCATTTGTTTCCTCCAACACTCAGCCAGTTCATGACTCCCTGACTGCTAGAATGAGCAAGTATAGGTAAAGTCCTACTCAGCTAAAGGTCATGTAACCATGCTCAGGGTCTAAATTAAGCAGCTGTTTTTATGAACAAAATGTTTACAGACATACAAAAACTGCACTGTTGTGGATGTTTTAATGCATATATGGACAAATTTGAGCATTTACCCAAAACTGGAGCAGAAAAAAATCCACATATGCTCACACAACCCTATTCCCCAGTCTTGGTCTCAGAAATGAGTAATCTATTTTGGCTGAAAAATTCAAAGCGCACAGCATGAGGCAAGCCCCCTACTATGAACAATTTCAACACAAAGTTACAGCTTGACAAAGTTATAAGCAACTGGGTGAACTTAAAAGAAAATGCTGGACAACTTTTACTGGCAGCAGCAGCAACCCTCTTCATGAAATCCTGAAGACAAAGTCAGTACCACTTTCAGAATAGAAGAGCATTTTATACCCAAGCACAGACTCCAAGGGACTTGCTCTCTGGTAAGAGACCTGAACTCAATTTTCTAGCTCTAAATCCCAATCCAGTGCCTTTACCACCAGATTAATATTATCCTGTCTAGATAAAAGCCAGAGATATTCTTCTCCTCAGCTGCTAAAATACATAAACATAAATCAACAGAAGGAGTTGTCTTTCATTGACCTGCTGCTTACAGAAACAGGAGTCACAAACAGGCAAAAAGGGGGAAAGAAACAAGAAAAGAACTATGACTAGCTACAGAGCAGTGTAACAGCAGCTCCCTCTCTTCTCATACCAGCTCATACTGGAGGTACAAGAGTCATTCAGAACTACCTAGTACATTATAAAACAGAAGCCTTACCTCTTTAACATTCTGTAAGGTTTCAGGTGTAATCGTGAAGTCCACTGGGCTTGGCATCAGCTTCCCTTTCTGAGGCTGCAGCATAACAAAAAGTAGCACTCATACCATAAACTACTTATACACTTAGAATCTTGAAAAGAAAGCAACAACTGCACACAATTGTTTAAGACAGCCTAAATGCTTACACAGCTAATTGTGAAAGATGCTGAACAGAACTGCACCAAGCTCTCTACATAACAGGGAACGTGTGCATTTCCTGCATTCCTTATTTCAAGAAGTGCAATAAATTACAACCTGAATTTTGATATGATCTAGATACAAATCCCCGGATATTACAAAATAACCATGATTTGATGGAATCCCATGCAAGCAGAGCTGTAGTATCCATTATTGCAATACAGCATAACAGGATGTGCATTCATCAGTTACTGGTGCAAGCCCTGGTTGTACTGAGAACCCAAAGGTTTCTGCCAAGTACACCAATAGCTTATTGATACCCAGCTGGGTGTGCTAAGAATTTGTCTCTTTCATTTTACATTTTAATATTTTAAAATTACAGAAAGTTTTATGGGTCAAATGATACATGCTCTTTTATTCTTAGTTGCTAGGCAAGATTGGAGGGATTGATCATGCGTTTCTTCTACTATGCTCAATATATTCTTTTTTTCCCTCTAACTCCCCTCCCTTACCTTCCAAGGTTCCCAGGACATTCTGAATTCCTCTCATTTTACCAGAGGCCCTTACAGCTTGTGGCCCCAAAAGCCATGTACTGGAAGTGATCTATAAGGTGCTACATTTGGTGCACCCTCATTGATTTTGCCAGGTGAGATTATGGCCTTCTAACAGCACAGTTTAGCATAACGAACTCTACCACGTTGGCTTTTGCAGTCACTGCTGCAAGATCCCAATCCTGGCCCCAGAGCAGCTCCCTACCCAGCCCCCCACCCTGCCAGTGCTGCTGGGGTCAGTCTCCATAGAAACCTTCGCCCGG